AGCCAATCGGCAGCTCCTCAGCGAACTACTGTGTGTGTGTGTGTGTGCGTGTGTGTTTGTGTGTTTGTGTGTGTCTGTGTGTGCTGCGTCTCCTCCAGAGCTGCCATTCAGTCTCCGAGGAGCTTCTCCAGAATTAGTGCTGTGTATTTTCAGCCTGCATGGCTCATCTCTCACCAATGACCCTGTTTGAATTCAGCCTCAGCTTCTCTTTACCTCCAAATCCACCTCCATCACTTGGATCTCATTCCCCCAAACCTCATACACACACATTCTCACTTTACAACTATATTCTGTTTTGCCTAATTGTTATACAAAGTTTGACGGAGCATTTCTTTTGAAGGTTGATATTGATATTTTTATATATAAAGCCATGTTAGGGAAACTTCCATCCTACATCTGCTCCCTGATCTCACGGCGAATTGTAAGTGGCTACTGCCTGAGATCGCATGCTGTGGTTTTATTAAATGTGCCAACTGCTAGGACTGTCTTAGGGAAGATAGCATTTAGATGCGCAGCTCCACTGTCCTGGAATAGTCTGCAATTAAAATGGAAACTGAGCAATCTGGTGCCACTATATGTTTTTAAAGCTCGGTTGGATGCTACACAATCAGAAGCTGTTGGTACCTGTGCATGTGGATAGTATGTAATTTGTAATCCCTGTAATGCTACTGTATGATGTCCTTTTTGTTGTTCTGTTTATGTTTTTAATGTTTCATGTGGAACCTACTTGAGCAGGTCTCCCTTGAAAAAGAGGTCAATGATCTCAATGGGATACAACCTGGATAAATAAAGGTTTGAAATGAAATGAAATGAATATTTATAACAAAGAACAGCTCGTAGTCTTTTAAGAAAAATAAGACAAAGCAGGGCGATGGAAATTCAAATCTTCTTTCAAGCTCAACATTAAAGTTTTCAGTATTTCAACTATCTGTACAGTGCAATAGCTGCATGGCAACAGCCAGATAGCAAAGCTGAGGGAAAGACTTTGGTCATGACAAATGAACTTTGGTTAAGGAATACTTAGAATTAGCAACAATAAAGACGAAAGCTTTTTTTTAAACCTATTATCTATAGGTTTGTGTGCATGTAAATGGTCTGCAAAGGCTACAATTCCTGTGTCCCCCGTCCCCTCCATGCCTCCATTGGACTCATTTGTTTACTTCAGTAACATAGTGACATCACTATGTAACACTCACGCTTCTATTGGCTAGTGCTAACCAATCAGAGCAGACTGGGCTCTGGTTTCAGACAGAGGGTGAAAAGAGGTGCTGCAGCACAGGCAGTATGAGAAACATAAAGAACATTAAAGAATGGATATGCCATGGAAATGCATAATAGGGCCTCTTTAATATAAAGGCTGATGGTATGGCACTTGTGAGGTGTAGAATCGTCCAATATCAAATTAATTCATAATAATTGATAGTTGTAACTTGATTGATTGATAACTAGATTTTTCAACAATCAAAATCTGTTCCCCCTCCAAATAGTGTTTACCGCCTGGTGAACAATGTTTCCCATTGGACACCTTCTCACGTCGGCACATCAGGGCTAACCACAGCTTGAAGTATGTATCTCAACTGTTGGGGTCTGAGAGTTTAAAGAATTGCCCTGCCATTCCAACATTCAAAGAATACGCAGGGAGGGGGTTTCAGGAGGTAGAGTATGGTTGTGTCTATAGTGAAGTGTGTCTTCTATGCAACTGTGATGATGAGGCTGACCCCACAGGTGGTTTGCATAGTGGCATCTTGACTTACCTCACATATCCAGAAAGAGCTCAAAGTAGAATGTATGCAGCATGTCGTGAAGAACAGGTTGAGGGTGTTCCTGTCTCCGATCAAGAAGCCTCATGGATGTCTTTATGTAGACCTACACTTTTCTAGCATGGATGGGTGGCTGAGGCTCAGAAGGTAGATGGTTGCTCTCCAACGAAGGGTGGTGGTTTGATCCAAAGTCTGCAAGATGCTTAACCCCAAATTGCTCCCAATGTCAAGGCCAACAAAGTGTGTGTGTGTGTGTGTGTGTGTGTGTGTGTGTGTGTGTGTGTGTGTGTGTGTGTGTGTGTGTGTGTGCGTGTGCGTGTGCGTGTGTGTGTGTGTGTGTGTGTGTGTGTGTGTGTGTGTGTTAGTCTCCCTGAGCAGGTGCACCTTGTATGGCAGCCTCTGCCTCTGTGTGAATGTGTGTGAATGAGTGATGATGACTTGGATATATAAAAGTGTTTTGAGGGGTTGTAAAGACTGGAAAAGTGCTTCATAAATGCAGTCCATTTTCCATACCAAAAGGAGCAAGTACTGTATTAACATTTGAAACAGAATAAGCCCAACTGAATCACTTAAAGGTAGGGTAGGTAATTCACTTCAGAAACACCTTTTGTTATATTCCATGGAATGCTCTTAACATCCCGATAGCAATAATTCAATTAAATGCTTTGACAATAAATATATACAAATATGTCATCTGTGGAAGCCGTGGCGCTGTAAAAAGCACGACCAATTATCTGCCTCGGCCCGCGGCAGATAACTGGATGGCCTACCTGCCTGTCAGCCTTCCATCTCGTGCACAAACTTATCTCGTGCCGTCATTGGTCATGTGCGCGTCCGTGTGTGTTGGAGGAGGGGCTCTGTAAGGAAGTCTGAAGGAAGGGGCAGATTTTTTTCGGTTGTGTACTTTCAAATTCTAGCGCACACCAACTTATAATAAAAGCAATCAACCAAGAGTATACAATCTCAGCCCAGCAAGAATCCAAGTATGATGGTGTCCAGTTAAGTTCATTCATCTTGTTCAAGTCTTTGTCCTATGCCTTGTCTGGGACTCCCTGTTTCATTTTGTAGTAACCTCTCCCTCTTGTTTCAGATCACTTAACTTTGTGTATTTCCCACCACTGCGAATGTCTACCCCACCCTGACTGTCTTCACCTGTGCCCCCTCCCCTTGTGTATAGTCTGCGTCTCCCTTGTTCTGTGCCAGTTCGTCTGGTCTCTTGATGCCATGTCTGCATCCATCCCTCGTGACTAAGGACTCTTTGATTGACTCCTTGGTGTTCATTTTTTTTTGTTTATCATTTTTTGATCCTGAAGGTATCCGTTTCTGATGCTCCAAGTGAGGGTTTTGTGTTTTTCTTGTCTTTTTAATCGATCTTCTGATTGAAAGCCTTGGCAAATTTGTATCTGTCTGTTCATTTGTACCTGGTGAGGTGCATTTGTGTCCTGAGCGTTGCGTCATCCGTAAGGGTTAGGGTTAACCTTCAAATATGCAAACATTTTTGAGTGCAACATACTTGTTATTGGTCTGCACTGTTTGAGAATGTCATTGTCATAACTACACTGTAGATACACTGTAAAAAAAAAAATTGTAAAAAAACGGAAATTTTCTGGCGACGGGGGCGCCAGAAAATGTCCGTTAAAAAAAGGAAAAAAACTGTAAAATAAAATACGGAGATAACATGTAAAAAAAAAGTTACTTACCTTACCACAAGTAGCCTCTATTACTGTAATTTTACATGAAATCTTTTTATTTTAACATATATTATTTGTTAGAATAGAGTCATAAACCTCTAGAAAACGGAATAATTATCTTTAAAAAATGATAAAAAAAAGCTAAAATACATAAAATTACTTTTATTATTACAAAAAAGTACCGTGTATCTAAGACCATTTACCATTAAAACACAAAGAAAAGAATGTCATTTTACTTTGCAAAAGCCTTAGTTTACATTAACTATCACATTTTTTGCCAAATTGTTTTTGTAATTTTACAGGAAATCTTTTTCTTTTAACATATATTAATTGTTAGAATATAGTTATACACCTCTAGAAAAACTGAATAAATATTTTTTAAATGATCAAAAAAAGCTGAAAGAAAGAAGATTACTGTTGTCATTTGAAAAAATACCGTAAATTCAAGATTCAAGGCTTTATTGTCATTTGTACATTAGCTTCAGTGTAGACATGGCAATGAACAACTGAAGTCACAGGCTCCTCCAACAGTGCAACATATATATAGAACATAGAACAAATAAAATAGAATAGAAATAGTGCAAGAAGAGTCTATATGCAAGTAAACGGAATATGATTGCACTGCCGTACCAGGCCGTGATGCAGCCAGTCAGGATACTCTCTATGGTGCACCTGTAGAAGATGCAGAGTATCCTGGAGTCCATGTTGAACTTCCTCAGCCTGCAGAACAATTACATCATAATGTCCAGGGACTTTTCACACGGAGAGAAAACATACACATGTTGAGAGGAAACTGCATTTTTTTTAAAACCACCAATTCGAACAAATTCCAAACTTCATTGCATCACAACAGAAGGTGTTCATCTGTGGAATAACTGTAATGATGAGCTGAAATACTGTGCAACTTTATCTAAACTAAAACTCTTATTTAGAAACCAAATCCTGAATGGTTCTGAGCAGGACCTGTGAAGTGATGCTTGCTATTTCTTGTCGTTGTAAAAGTTATTTCTTTTTGGTTGTTTTGTACAAAAGAATGAATCCAATATCACAGATGCTGATGACGATGACCCAAACTTGTATTTCCATGAACAATGTACGCTGGGGGGGGGGGGGTAGGACCAGAAACGTTTTTAAGCTAAAATACGATAAATATTATTGTTGGTTTTGTTTCTAACATGTTCAATAAATTGACTAATACAATTTTGTTTTTAAAGAGCCGCTGTTTTGGTGATGGTGTTAGTGTGATGAGTCCATGTCAGGTCCTCAGTGATGAGTCCATGTCAGGTCCTTAGTGATGAGTCAGGTCTTCAGTGATGAGTCCATGTCAGGTCCTCAGTGATGTGGACCCCAAGGAACCTGAAGCTGCTGACTCTCTCCACCGTAGTCCCATTGATGGCGATGGGGGCGTGTCCCTCTCCCTGCTGCTTCCTGTAATCCACAATCAGCTCCTTTGTTTTGCTGACGTTGAGATGGAGGTTGTTATCCTGGCACCAAGATGTCAGGTTTTCGACCTCCTCTATGTACGCCGTCTCGTCGCCGTCGGTGATCAGGCCGATGACGGTCGTGTCGTCAGCAAACTTCATGAAATCTAAGACCATTTACATGTAAAACACAAAGTAAACATGTCATTTTACTTTGCAAAAGCCCAAGTTTACATTAACTGTCCGATGTTTTGTAGAAAAAAAATCACAAATATATACAATATATTATTGAAAATAATATACATCACAAAAATAAAAACAATAAATAAAATATATTTTAAGTAATAATAAAGCAGAATAGACCGGCAATGAAACATTTCAACATTTAACAATAGCCAACATTTTGTTCAAAAGATAACGATTATAAACACTAAAGAAATCTAACAGTTATGTGCGTGCGTGTGTACATGACTGTGTGTGTGTTTCAACTCTCTCCATTCAAAGTCAGCGACGTTTGTAATTAATGAATGCACCTTTATCTTTATCGAGTGCTGTTTTTGTTTGTATTCCTTCCTCTCCACTCTAGTCCCATTGTCCGGATTGATCTTGAATAGGCACCTGTTAAGACAGAAGTACACTTACATTTAGTGTTTAATTACACATTCTGTGGATGATACAGCCATTAATTGTCTTTACAGTTATACAGCTTGAAGTCAAAGGGCAATGCTACTCTTAAATGTACTTTTCATTAACTGCTATGATCATATCTGTGCATTTAAAGCATTGGTTTGAATAGATTTTGTTATATAACTGGACAGTATCGCAGCAGGTCTGTAAACAGGAGCAAGCGGTCACTTGAAGATTTGGGTAGCTACGAGTCCCATCTTGAGAGGTTTGTGTGTAACTGGGGCAGATGAGGTGCGTGTCAGTAGCAGAGTGAGCGGTGTAAAAGCATCGTAGTTAACCGAAAGAAGTTTTAATGTGTTTGTTCACTGCAATAATACCAGGTTTTCTTTTGTTGTCGACAAAGGGCCCTCTTTCCGTCATTTTCATTGAGCTGAAGTAAACATACCACCGATTGGCTAAGAGTGAGTTTGAGCTTTTAGGGAGGAGCCAAAGCACACCACTGCAAAGGAAAGGGGTACGCTGAATTTACAACCCAAGACAAAACGAGAGCATAATGCGAAACAGAATGCAGCACAATAATCTTTTTATCTCGATTATCTTGTATTGTCAGGAGCACTTATCGTGTGTCAGAAATGTGCACAATCCTCTACTCTGTGGTTTAAGATGGAATTACTTAATAATTACAATTCAAGTCTTACCTCTGCAAGAACTCCAGGGTAGCTCCCAGTTCTGAGCGATAACTGATGTTGAGGCAGTAATATGCTGCAAACATCAGCATCAGGGCGTCGACAACATTCAGGACACTGTCACTGACGGTGGTCTGGTCCTCTGCTATCACGTAGTGTCCAGCTGTCAGGGGAGAACTCCCTTAAGGTACACAACAGGAAAAAGTCACAAAACATTTATAAATCCAAAAAATATTTAGTGCAGATTGTTTTGTTTTTTTTACTGGTCACATGGCCAATTGTGTTTTAGGAATGATCAGCTCCTGCAGCTTTCTTTTCTTTCTTAAGTGTTTCCTAATGTTAACAGTGTAGAAAATGTCACATCATAAAGGGATAGTTTGGGTGTTTAAAGTGGGGTTTTATAAAGGTACTTATCCATAGTCAGTGTATTACCTAGAGTAGATGATGGCCGGCAGGGGCGGGCTGGGAAACGGTGGACCTCTGTCGCCTGTCAGCGCAACTTCAATGATGCCGTTTAAAAACAGCAAACCGACCCGGCCGTTCGGTGATTCTACAGATGGTCAGTCCGCCCCTGCCGGTACCGAAGCGTCCCGATGGCCAGTCCGCCACTGATGGCCGGTATGCCCCGAGCTTGGAGATGCAGACAGGAGCAACCACCTGGAAGCAAAGCAATGTACTGCTCTGGACAGGGTCAGCAGAAAAACATATTTTAGCCACCTCTTGATGATTTCCATATCCTTTCACTGTTTGCATAGCAATACCATATAGGACATTGAGAATTGATAACACTTGTAATATGGCAAGAAATCTTACTTGAGGATAACTGGCTGCTGTTTATTCTTGGTAGGTTGCAATTACTGGTACTGCAGCTACAGTAACAGCTGAGGGGAAAAAAGAGACACAAGTTTGCACATGCTTAAGCAAAAATAACTTAAATAACACAGCAGCAGCTTTAAGTACAGTAATACCACACTTCAAGTATAAGACCCGAGTACTTCTACTCTTATTCAAGTACAAGATCAGAGAACTTCTCCCACCTCTGATTATAGCCTTAACATAGGATTTAAAAGATATGGATAATGAGCATTGTGTGTAACATTATGCCCACAAAAAAATCGATTATAAAACAAAGGATTGAGCTAAAATTAGGAGTTAGTGACAATGTATGCTAGTTAGCTAGCTAAACTATTTATTAAATAATATTGCGAAAAAGTAACTCTGAAACATTCACTGCACATCAGCTTAGCCACTCGAGCACCATTACAAAATAAAAAATTTGGCATAGAAGAGCTCAATTTCAAAGCATGGTAGCTAGCTGCTACCTAGCTAGCTGCTACCTAGCTATGGTAACGTTAGCTAACATTACTTTGTTTTCGGTCGTTAAACAAAATGTATACCATAGCTAGGACTTTGACGTTTGCAATGTTTTGCAAATCGATTGCCCTGAAAATCCTTTGATGAACATCCAATCCTTGTATTATTTTAAGAATTGGTAACGCCACACCATAAAGATTCATTTAAAAGTCAAAAAATGGGGTGCAAACTATTTACATTGCAATTATAATTGTTTAATTCTTTGGATTTTATTTTCTTAATTTACAAAATGACAATGTAACTAGTTGATAAATAATAAAACAAACACTGAAGGCTTTCCAAAGACACAAGCAAAATATGTTATAAGACTTCTTTATTGTCAGTTTATTCTTTTAAATTGAGAATAGAGAACACTGATAACTAATGTTGGTGCACATTTATATAAGTTTGATTATGATCAGGAATATCCCATCTGTACTTTGCAGTCCTGTCCCAAGTACAAGTTAAGTAGGTATTAATCAACGTGTACATATCATTTTTAGTCATGCATAGTACTGCCTTCCTGTTTGCTTTATTTTTGAGAAACCTATTCTGCACCTACCTGGGTTTTAAGAGAGTCCAATACCCCATGAGACTGTTCAGTCTCATAAAACATGCTCAATTTACTTTTTGAAAACACAAGCTCACAATAAAGTCAGATGGGACATCTACAGAAGCAAAGTGTGATAGACAAAGATGCATTCCTATATTAAACAAACAGAAAATAAATCTTTGTTGTTCCACGAGGCAGTTGTAGCCATAGCAAATGGATTAACAAGTGAATTTATGTACTTAACCTTCAACTACCTGCTGCCTGAAATCCCTGTGACATCACTGTAGATTGTTGTAACCAACTAGCTGTGTGGGACATTATCACAATACATATTTAAGTTAATTGACTTGGATTGTAAATGTATTTCGCTGTAGCTACTAGCTTTGTCAACATGCTTTGGCGAAGGCCTATTCTTTCAATGTGATGCATTGAATAGTTGGATATTATTAGACGTCTAAAAGGACAACATTGTTCGTTTTACTGTAATTGCAATGCTAATACCAATTTAGCATAGTGGTAGCACTAACTGCTAAGACGGTTTTGATATTCAGAGTCTGGCTGTTAGTGCATGTTCAATGTTATGGGCTAAATTGTACATGCTAGTGTGATAAGGCCTAGGGGAAGATGCTAATGTTATTTAACTTCTAGATCCTTTCATTTTTCACTTAGAGTGAAACTCAATATGTTTTTTGCATACTGTGCGCCAATCACTCTGTGTTTTAAATATTGAGTCACACATTTTAGAACATTGATACATTTCTAAAAGCTACTTTCCTAACAAACATGGTGCAGTTGTAGCAATCGCTACGAGAATGCACTCTGTGTTAGCTGCACAAGGCACTTTGCGGTAGCTTCACGTCTCTAATGATCTGAAAAGCTAAATGATGTCAGAAATGTACACAGCTTTTTCTTGTGTTGAAACAGATCAGCAGGTCAATGTTACTTGGGTTGTGAACGCACAACAGTTGGTTGTTTGTTAGTAGAGTTGCTTTACTGTAATCGCAATGCTAATACCAATTTAGCATAGTGGTAGCACTAACTGCTAACAAGGTTTTGATATTCAGAGTAGGCTGGCTGTAAGTGCTTGCTAGCATGTTCAATGTTATGGGCTTATGCTAGTGTGATAAGGCCTAGGGGAAGATGCTAATGTTATTTAACTTCTAGATCCTTTCATTTTTCGCTTACAGTGAAACTCAATATGTTTTTTGCATACTGTCTGCCAATCACCGTTAGCTGCACAAGTGACTTTGCGGTAGCTTCGCGTCTCTGATCATCTGAAAAGCTAAATGATGTCAGAAATTGGCACAGCTTTTTCTTGTGTTGAAAGAGATCAGCAGGTCAATGTTACTTGGGCTGTGAACGCACCGAACACCAAAACTGCTCCCTGGCGCCGGCTATCTGGCAGCCTCTCTGCGATCCCCTCTCCTATCCGCATGTGGTTGTGTTTGTGCATGTATATGCTCTGTGTGTTTGTGCATGTACAGTATATCCTCCCTGTGTGTGTAATGTGTTTAAACACAACAGAGTGGGGGAAGACATTTCCCTCTGAGTGATGAATACATTATATCTTCTTCTTCTTCTTCTACTTAGAAATCATAAGTGAATGGTCACATTAGGTTTGCCTGCAGTGAATGCTGACAGCTATGAGCTAGTTTATAGATGTATCATGGCATAGCCAAATGTCTCCTATATAACCCACAGGCTGTTACTGGTGGGTTATAGTATCATTTTATATCTGAATTGTGCTCTGGTAGGAATTCGCACCCAACATGCTAACAGTCAAGTTTTTTTTTAACTCTATGGTTTTACACAGTTTTTATAACATGAAATTCACATATTTAACAATTAAATCTTCAAATTAATACAAATGTAGCAATAAAGTGAAAGTCAAAATGTGTTAAAATGTAGTTTTTTTTTACTATAATAGGATAGTCAATACCTGTGTTTTTTCAGTTTATCAATGTAAAGTAGTGGTTAAATTAAGCAAAATTACTAAATATTTCTTTCTTTACTTTTCTTTTCTTGCAATTATACATTTTTTAAATGAGTATTAACAGTATTTGTTATGTATTTGACAGTTATATATAGCCATAACAAAAGTATTTTTTAGTAAAATTACAGAAAATGCAGCTAATTTTGCCAACAGAAAATCATTTATTTTTACGGTTAGTTTTGTTAAATTCGCATTTAAAAACTGCTAAAAAACTGCTAAAAAACTGCTAAAAAACAGATAAATAATGTATTCCATTTCTACAGTTTTGTTTTGTTAAAATACATGACACATTTCAATAAACCGTTTATTCTTGTAAATTGAATATGATTTTCTGTAATTATGAAATACAATAAAAAACTGTAATTCTTTTTGGGGAAAAACTGTAAAAAAACATTTTTTTTTTACAGTGTATGTAAAAGCCTTGAATCCTTGAATTATTTGGGTTTTTTATTTTAATACTCATTGTGCAGTGGAAACAGGTAGGTTTCAAGTGTGCAATGGAAGATGTGCAATCCTGATATCAATGGGCAGCTTGGTCCACCATTTTTATCCAATCACAGCACGGTAGGCCAGTCCCAGTGTCTTAAAGAGGATTCTCCAAATCTACAGCCCAATACTGATGGTATCACCCGTGAATAAGTCAGGACTGACCTTCAGTAAAATGACCTCATCAGACTAACATTTGGAGCCATTGTTCTCCTTTTCTTTGTGTCCCTCTTATACTCCTCATCTGTCTAACGCCTTCTTCATTGCCGTCATCTCGCTAAACAGAAGTGATTCTCCAGAGCCCTAATGGACGAACGCAGAGAGAGGGATGATGGTGAGCGAGAGGAGGATGAGGAGTAGGCGGAGGAAACAAAGTAAAGCTTTTAATCTGTAAATGGAGAGGGGTAATGGTCATTTAAGCATTAAGATACCCCGTCCGTCCGTCCGTCTGCTCTGTTTGCGTCTCCTTAATGCTCTTTAAACATTTATGAAGGCTGATAACAAAGAAAGGCCGTAGCTACGCTGTAATCAAATCACTGTTGGTTATAGGGCTGTACTCGGAAGAGTGATGGAGGGAGGGGGGAGAGAAGGAGAAGAGGGGGAGGCTGGGAAATCACTGGAGTGACAGTGTGAGAAATGGAGGAAGAAAGGGGGGAAATAGAAAGAGGAATATATTAGCTCTTTAAATAGTTGCGTAAAATAACGCAATGTGTTGCTGTCAAATACAATAAAGCAGAGTTTACATTACACTTAAACACATGTCTGTCTCTGAAGGGTTCCCTCCCAAAGAGTGTGGACTGACATTTCACTTGCTGAGTCAATATCACCATACGGTGCATTTAAATGGACAAATTCAAAGTAGAGTAAATACATTTACATAGTGATTATAAAATGTACATTTTCAGAAAGCTATTTAGTCCCTTTCCCAACAGTAATTTACTGTAAATATTTCACAGTAATTTACTGTAGATATTTTACAGTAAATTAGAATAGAAGTACAACTACATACTGTGACTTTACAGTTGCCATGCCCATGGAAGTACTGTGATATAGCAGTACAGAGCTGTGGTATTATGGTACCTTGCTGTACATAAATTACAGTAATTACCTGCATTTTCACACTTTTACTGTAAAAGTAATGCAAGACAGTAGCCAGTAATTTACTGTAAATATAAAAATGTAAATAATACTATAATATATTGTAAATTTGACTAGTTAACTGGGATTTTACCATACACAATTGAATCTGCATCAAGTGCAAAGTACATTTCACATGAAACTTTCTACAGACTGTGAGTGTCTTACATTAGTCCTGGACATGTCTACAAAGACATCCACTCGAAGTCCAGGAGTTCTCTAAAGAATGTGCTGACATGGGGGTTTATAACGCCACGCTTCTTGGCTTTTGAGCCCGTCTCAGGGTTAATGCCAGGAAGCACCTGAAAACAATAAGCCAAGACAACAACTTTCAATTTTACATAGATTTATATGTTGCATCGTTTATTTTAAGACACATGCAGCGGTGCCCCTTTCGATTTAAGTAAACCTGCACCTCTTTTCTAACAACGTGTACCTCTCTTCTTTGGACGGGGGCAGCCATTGGTTTTGCATACGTCGCAAATTGGTCGCAACACAGCAATGTGAAACCTGGAATCAGAGAAAAAACACATTAACATATACACATATCAAATGTTAGAAGAAAAAATATCAGGGACAATAATGTCGCAATGTGTTTTTTGCCGGTCAACATGTCCGTTAAAGTTGAAATCTTCCGGACAAAATGAGAAAAGTGCCGGCCAAAGGTCTTCTTTGTTATTTATTGAGCTTTAAAACAAATTGATAAAGACTCTATATTAAACAAACTAATTATAGTAGATTAACTAAATCTAATCGATAGATTTATGATTAGAAAATGATAAAAGTAGGGTAGACATGTGGAGATTATCCGACTGAACAAAACGTGATCCGTCTCTAAAATGTGTGTCAACCACAGACCTTATTTCCAGTTATTTTCCAAAATCCTATGAAGAAATTGCATTGCTTTTTTGTCGAGGGAACCGGAAGAAGCTTATTTCCGGGTTTTAGGACGCGTCACTGTGGCACTCTTACTAGTTTAGGTTGTTCCAGAGGTAGATAAAATAGCTAAGTGTGTTAGTTCTAACTTGAAGTGTATGTTTTGCTCCGCTCACCAGTCCATCATAGCGGACAGAGCTGCATCATGTAGAGCTGCAGGTGATCATAGAGCTGCATCATGTAGAGCTGCAGGTGATCATGCAGAGCTGCGTGTCTCCGTCAGCAGCAGCTGATCTGATCTCTGATCTCTCTCTCCCGTCCGATTAGACTTCACTCACGTTTATGTCCATATCGATCAGATCTAGCTAGTTCTGGCTAATGATATGACTGCCTGCTTATCAAAGGACACCAAACAATAAGCGTTGCTTGGCAACGGGGTGTCGCGGCAAAGTATAGCGCAGCATTATGCATTTGTTTACATGAGGGGTCAAAATGTCCCCTTCAGGAGGATAAATCTCTTTCTCCACATTAAATGTTAGACATTAGAATTTACTGTTCTTGTCTGTCACATAAGTGGCGCAACTGATGCGATATTGCGCTAAGGGGAAATTATTTTGACCGGAGAAATTTAGATTTGCCGGCACTGTTCAAAATGGGGGGGAGCCAGGGGGAGCTTGGCTCCCCTAAAGAGGGGGGGAGATCCCCTGAAGGCCGACTTTGAGATAAATAGGAGAGCCCAAAAAAATCGTGCATATTTGTGTCACACAGATTAGAAATGTTGAGTTTCTGTAAATAAAAGTTCTTGAAATAAATAATAGTCATTGTTCATTACAGTTTCTGAATATTTGTTTTATATTTGTGAATATTTCTGGGTGTTGCCATCTGTACGTGGCGGCGCTGCATTCTTTACGCTACTTACGTTGCTATGTTTACGGCGGCGATGCCGGCGCGGTATTTGAAATGTTCATATTGATATGTGTTGGCGAAACGAAAACAGCCAAGCCTCGCAGCTTTTGGATTCACAAGCAAAGAAGCGAAGGAGTCTAAAAATGACAACGTGAACGGAACAACTTTTAGTTGGCCGGCTGTAAGAGGGTCGAGTTTGACAGCTCCACACCGAGGGAGAGGCCTGCCGATGCGGAGCCTGAAGAGGCTTCAACAAGCTAGCGAACCTTTCCTGACGATGCCCATGACCTGCCTTTTAACTGGACACAGAAAAGATGGAGTGAGTGGAATGAAAGGTATCCATGGTTTTTCAAAAAAAATTAAAAATGTGGATATGAGATTTGCAAAGAGGCAAAAATTATATTGATCTCCCTGCCGCTCGCAAAAAAATCCACCGGAGTGCACCTTTCACAAGAATGGATTCAGGGAAATGTCAGCAGTGATCAACAGAATAACCTGCGGAAAAAGATTTATAAGCACCATAAGAGCCAGGCACACGAAAAAGCGATCGAGATTTCGGAGATGAGAAAAAAGACGTCCTACCAAACAAGGTAGGCCTATTGGCAATCAATGTTGATCTAATGCAGGAAACATATACATATTTCAGGTCTGCCTATATGATTGCCAAAAAAATAAATAAATAGGGCTCCCCCGAAAGCAAATGGGTAATTCGAACACTGTTTGCATATTTTACCGGACTATGACCGTTACCGGCTAACAGAAACTCTGAACACCAGATATTTCAGACTGTCTGCAATCACATTAAACAAAACTGGAGCAAGTCTAAATAAAAGCACACATTTTCATTTAAGTAAAGGGGAACAAAATGCGTTGAATTACCTATCAGAGTAGTGACAGGTGCTTCTTCTCGTCTTTGCTTGGCGCCGAGTGACTCGTAGCAGTTACTTGCCGTTCAAAATCTTTTGCGATCCCACAATGCAGCGCAGTTCACGTAATTTGTTGTGTTATCACAGAGGATGGTCTGAATACAGTATTTTACTATGAAATAATACAGTAACATGTTGTGAAATCCTGGTAATAATTTATCCTGTACATTCACAGTAATTAACTGTACCTGCATTGATATCACTGTGAAATTCAAAATTACAGTATTATATTGTGAAGATTACAGGTAAAGACTGTAAAGTGGTAAAACAGTAATTTATTGTAAAATATTACAGCTAAATATTGTGAAATCATGGTAATATTTTACAGTGTACTGTTTAACAAATATATTTCAAATTTCTGAAAGGTTTTTCTATTAATTGACATTTCACTAAGACAGAGTGGACATGTTAAGCTTGACAATATCCAACTACACACATAATATGATTAAAATTATGAAATATAAGTTTAAATACTTACTCTGCAACTATAACCAATGTCTCAGCCTCCATTGAGGAAAGACAAAATGGTGGTAGTAATGTCACTGAAAACATCAGATGTTTTTATATCGGGGCAGTTACCCCATAATGGTGGACAGCAATGTCAAGGACACATGAAAAATGTTCAATATTATTATGAAAATAGAATATACATGATCAAAATGACTCGTTTTATCAAATAACTCGTTGTGGACAATAAAACCATATCATTATTTTAAAAATGTAGTATAATTTAACCACTTATTACACACACTGTAGTTAGCAGAGCAGTGTGTGGGACATGCCAAAATCACGTACATCCAATGAAAAAATACGGTATAAAATGAAGGAAACACATTTCAAGAGACTTATCATTGTACTGATATGTGTGTAAATGTTTGGCCATTTATAATAAGACCTCAGAGTTTCATTATTCTGCTACATTTTCATGATGACTGAGTGATTCTGATGGGGACACCAAAGTTACTTTATAGTGATATTGACTCTGCTACTTCCTAATTTATAACTAGTAGGATTATACCAGATGTGGTTTAAAGATAGCTATTAGGTTAGCTAACACCCTGTGGTAGTTTTACACTGTTATATACTGTGGTACGTTTTTAATAGGATTGAGTCAGAGCAGGGGTGTTCAATCATGTTCGTGAAGGACAAAGAGTGTGAGCGAGTGAGAGGTCAGAACTGGAACTTTACATAGTGTTAGAGGTATATATTGTTTTTATATAATATGTAATAGTTAAACATTTATTTTATTGCTGTTATTGTTTATTGTCATTTTTAATGTATATGTATTTATGTCATGATTTTGTGTTTCATGTTTTATTTTGAAATGCCTTTTCTCCTTGTGTCCTGTTTTACTTCCTTTGTTTTCCCGCCTTTTCCCGCTCGCGTGATTGTGTTCACCAGAGGCTTGTACTACGAAGCCGGATTTTCGCTTAGTGAGCTAATTTCAGGGAAACTCTGGGTTTCCGGTCCTACGACGCTGGTTCACTTCTTACCGGGGTAGATCTCCACGGTAACTTATGCTGAACGGCTAACCTGCTCCGGAGCAGGTTTGGTTCCAGGATAAGAGATCAGTTTATAAAAGCTCCGCCTATCGACCAATGAAATCTCTGTGAAAATGACATCGCCATTTGTCGATGACACTGTGGAGCTCGGAGCGAGAATTTTGAGAGGCGCTCTCAGGCGGGAGGGGATCTTTAGGGACAGACAAAACCCTTTGGCTTTCTCTGAAGAGTATTTGTATGAAAGATACAGGTTCTCGTCAGAAGGGCTGACTTATCTGTGTCAGCTCCTCGAGCCATATATTGCTAATGCCACACGTCGGAGTTGTGCACTTACAGTGCCGCAGACTGTATGTATTGCTTTGCGCTACTTTACAACCGGCAGTTTTCTCTATGCTGTGGGTGATGCAGAGAACCTAAGCAAGAATACAGTCTGCAGTGCTATTCATAAGGTCGCACATGCTCTGACAGGGCTCGCAGAGTCCTTTGTTGTATTTCCCAACCCAGTCTCACATCTAAACGTGTAATAACTACGTTGGTCCACAACTTGGGACGTAGTATTTCTACAAAAACGCCTCTGAAATTGTAGGATCCCTACGTTTTTTTTCACCATTCATTTCCAATGGCTGGCGTCTATGTCACGTGATCTTCAACTTTCTCTCCGCAGAAATAAAAAAACATGGCCGACCTTCGTTTTATTCTCGGTAGAAAATGCCTATTTTAAGGTTAGTTTGGCCATTAAAATGCGTTTTGATGTCATTTGATGCGAGAAATATGAGTTGTTATTTCAGATTATGTGTGCAGTGGATGTACATGATCTTTAGTTTGCTAGTTATTACGAAGAATACTTCAGGAAATTGTGTAAATACAACGTTTTCATTGTTACCAAGGTGGTTGCTAGGGACGCTGCTATCGATATTATGTCTGTTATGTTGTGTAACTGTTTAATGGTGTTATCTTTAACCCCCTTCCCCTTCAATTTATAGTGTTGGTGTTACGGTTTTGTATTTATGTTTTCATTTTCCACCTTTGTTTTGAAATGTTTTCCTCCTTGTGTCTTCTCTGTTCCTTCTTCCTGTGTTTGCCTTCCTGTCGTTAGTTTCCCTGGGCTGCGTTTCACTTCTCTTATTTTTCATTTCCTCGCTCCTCGGTCTCGGTCTCACCGGAAGTTGATTTGTCTGTGCCATCTTGAGTAGCGTCCCATGGCTCTTATTTCTGCCGGAGGACCGAGGATCGAGGAGCGAGGAGCGATAATGGAGGAGCGATAACCGAGGAACCACCAGACCATCCTCCGGTGAAATCCTCAGATACTCTCCCCGCCCCCTTACTGTGTATCGCTCACTGATTGGACGATGCAGCGCATGCACTGATCTGATGCTTCTTGACATGAGAGCAGAGTTTCCCAGCGGAGTGAAGAAAACACATGAAACTCACGGGACTCACTCCTCAGTTTATACTGTGTTTTGTTTCAATTAATGCATAATTCAGTTACAAATATGTGATATATATGAACAACAAAGTGGTCAAAAATTATTTTATTCATTTATTGGAAACATTTTCATGATCGCTTTTTCGTTTTACATTTTCATTTATTGTCATTTCCATTCAGTCAGTCATTAAGTGCTATTTAACATGTTCATTTGCTACATATCCACACAAACAAAGTGTGCAATCCATGCAATGAATGTTAATCTAACTGGGTTTTGATAGATAACATATCTCTTTTCTTCTCTGAATTATTATTTTATTTCTATTGTGCACTCTAATCAACTATTGTTCGTTTATACATTTTAAGAATGGCGTTTATCTTTTTTGAGAATGAGTTCTTATTTTATTTAATGTATTTGGGTCTACAACAGATGATACACATGTTTGTGTCAGTAAATGTGTACTAACAGAGGCGGGGGTGTTTGTGAAAATAACGGGGACAGAGCTGCTGTCAGACGAACAGCTGTGCGGCGTCATCACAAACGGACGTCGCTTCACGTGACGCTCCGGAGGAAAGGACGTCCCATTGCTCTTAAAACTCATTTCCCTGCTTCTCGTGGTTTCCTTGCGTCTCTCCATGCTTCCCTGGTGGGAGGGACTAAACGCAGGGAAACGACGCAAGTGAGGGACGCAAGGATTCCATTTAATCGACCTGAGAAGGACCCCTGGTGTGTCTGATTGTCTGATTGTGTTCACCTGTTGCCCTTGTGTTTCTGCCTCCCTTACCCCAGCTGTGTCTTGTCTTGTGATTACCCCTCTCTGTATTTAGTCTTGTCTTCCCCTGTGTGCCTTGTCGGTTCATTGTTGGTTTTTCCTGTCTCCCTCCATGTTGGTCACGATTATTCCTAGTGCTACCCATGTTATCCATGCCATGCTTTTTTTCTCATCAGCTTTGTAAATAAAGCTCATTTTTTGTTTCTAGACTTGTTACCTCTTTTTGTTCTGCATTTGGGTCCTACCGTTTCCACGCTACCTAACAGAATGAACCGACCAGAAATGGACCCAGCAGACAGCTTGTACGAGGTGACGTACAATTTAACATGCTTGAGGAATGACTTTCGATATGCCTCCAGTAGTGAAGAGAGGCAGTCTATCATTTCTACGGCACGCCAAGAAGTAACCTCAAGGCCCTGGTTAAGGGAGTTACTACCCGAGTGGATTGAGGACTTTTTTGGTAGCGTTGAGGTCAAACCTGTTTCCCGGCCTGCTAGCCCCAGGCATGCTAGCCCCCTGCCTCCCAATTCCCAACCTGACACCATACGTCTCGGTGTGTTCCGTCTGGAGTCAACCCCTGCTTCTTCCCCATTTCCTGCTCCTGTCCAGGAGCCGTTCTCGGGTACTCGTCTGGCTTTTGGAGGTCCAAGGAGTCTCCAAAAGGCTCATAAGAGAAGGAGTCGCAAGTCCAGGCTAGCAGCCCGAGCTCCAGAAGCCATGCTTTGGGCTCCAGTACAGGCCCCAGCAGCCATGGTTCCGTGTTCCGGTTCCGTGCCCAGCAGCCATGGTGCCTGCTCTAGTACCGGCCCACACAGCCATGGTTCCGGCTCCAGAACCGGCCCATACAGCCATGGTTCCGGCCTTTGTTCCGGTCCCAGCAGCCATGGTCCCGACTCCAGTTTCGGCTCCAGTACTGGCTCCCCGGCAGACGCCAGCCCCCCGGGTTTTGTCATTGGTTCGGCCCACTCCAGCCCCTCGTGTCCTGTCGGTGGTCCGGCCGACTCCAGCACCTCGTGTCCTGTTGGCTCTACGGCCGACGCCTACCCTATGTCCTGTGCCGTTGGAGGTCCCGCCGACTACTCTTCTGCCGGGGGTCTTGCCAACCCTATGTCCTGTCCTGTTGGGGGTCCCGCCGACTACTCTTCTGCCGGGGGTCCTGCCAATCCTATGTCCTGTGCCGTTGGAGGTCCCGCCGACTACTCTTCTGCCGGGGGTCTTGCCAATCCTATGTCCTGTCCCGTTGGGGGTCCCGCTGACTACTCTTCTGCCGGGGGTCCTGCCAACCCCATGTCCTGTCCCGTTGGGGGTCCCGCCGACTACTGCTCCGCCAGATTTCCTGCCAACACCAGATCCTGTCCTGTTGGGGGTCCCGCCAACACCTGCTCCTCCGGGTTTCCTGCCAACACCAGATCCTGTCTTGTTGGGGGTCCCGCCGACACCTGTTCCACCGGGGGTCCTGCCAACTCTGTGTCCTGTCCTGTTGGAGGTCCCGCCGACACCTGTTCCACCGGGGGTCCTGCCAACTCTGTGTCCTGTCCTGTTGGAGGTCCCGCCGACACCTGTTCCACCGGGGGTCCTGCCAACTCTGTGTCCTGTTCCGTTGGGGGTCCAGTCGACACCGGCCCTTGCTCCGTCCGGGGTCCCGTTGACACCGGTCCATGTCATGTCCAGGATCCCGTCTACGCCTGTTCCGTCGGCTCCGGTTCCTGTCCGGCCGACAACAGGTCCTGCCCGGCCTCCGGAGCTGTCCCGTCAGCGCCTTCCTGCCCGTCCTCCGGAGTTGTCCCGTCAGCACCTTCCTGCCCGGCCTCCGGAGCTGTCCCGTCAGCGCCTTCCTGCCCGTCCTCCGGAGCTGTCCCGTCATGGCCCTCCTGCCCGTCCTCCGGAGTTGTCCCGTCAGCACCTTCCTGCCCGGCCTCCGGAGCTGTCCCCTCAGCGCCTTCCTGCCCGTCCTCCGGAGCTGTCCCGTTGCTGCCTTCTTGTTCGCCCTCGAGCCCGGCCCCCTGAGTGCCGCGGTCTTCGCCCTCGAGCCCGGCCTCCTGAGTTCCCCAGCCGCGGTCTTCGCCCTCGAGCCCGGCCCCCTGACTCTTCTAGTCGCTGCCTTCGCCCTCGAGCCCGGCCCCTTGAGTTCCCCAGCCGTGGTCTTCGCCCTCGAGCCCGGCCTCCTGACTCTTCCAGCCGCTGCCTTCGCTCTCATGCCCGGGCCCCTGAGTTCGCCCGCTGTGGCCTTCGCCCCTTTTTGGACTCTGCCTTGCCCCCAGGCCGTCCGCCCGGGACCCCTTCCGGGCCCGTCCTCCGGACCCCCTCCACCCACCCTTTTGGCCCTGGTTGTGCGTCCCTCCTCCGGGCCCCCTCCGCCCACCCTTCTAGAGGTTTTGGACTTTTATTGTGGAAGTAGGCTATTGTTAACCCCAAATGCTTTTGCAGGCCACATGTGACGGTATGTGTGAGGGTATGGCAACTGTTCATTCTTATTGTTTTGTGCTTCTTATGACGCATTTCCACTACAGCGCGGAGCTCGCTTTAAGCGTGCCGTGTCGTGCCGTGCCCGTTTTTGGTTGCGCTTCCACTAGGCCTAGTTACGGCCCGGCCCGGCCCGGGGCCGTAACTAGGCCTCTTTTCTGGCCCGACAAAATTGTGGTTCTATCGGGGCCAACAAACAGGGCTGAGTCGGGCTGAGTATGCTAAACTAGAGAGAGGATAGCTGGCAAGGGGGCTACAACTACAACAAGATGGACATATTTGACCGTGATTTAATTGTAATACACGTTTCAAAATGATGCCGAAGTAACAACATACTGATACCGGTTAGTAAAAACCATGAATTAATGCTTTGTCAAGTCTGCAGACAGACGGCAGGCGAAAAACCTTTTAAAATGCGTGTTTTTCTAGATGGAGATTGGCTAAGCTAACGCAGTATATGCTCCGACCGTCCACACTCACAACAACGGCCTATACAAACATAAATAAAGCAGCGACTGTATTCACCATGACACAGGCAGTCTGTGGTGTGTACTTGTTTAACTTTTGTCGAGTTTCTGAACATATATAAGGAGCTGTGAGCTCTGAGTGCTAACAGCTAACGGCTGTGTTGTTTTTCTGGAGTTCTCATTGAAGATGACGTCACGGCTCCGCCTACACTGCGTTACTATAGTAACTACCCCAGTTCCTAAACTGTAATGGAAGCGCAGCATGAAGTGAGTCGGCCCTGTTAAGGCCCAACGCGGCCAAGCCGTACCGAGCCGTACCGAGCCGTACCGAGCGTGGCCGAGGCCGACCGTGTAGTGGAAATGCGCCATTAAACTGCCTTTTGTGGTACTTATTATGGAAATGTTCCTTTATCTTCAGGGCTCTTCAGTGGAGTGCTGCTCGGGGACAGGGGTTATGCCTGCCAGCCTTTCTTGATGACCCCATATCCTGACCCTGATGAAGGGCCACAAACCAGTTTTAATGTGGCCCATGCCAAAACCAGGGTCAGGATTGAAATTACTTTTGGGATACTGAAGGCCCGATTCACCTGCCTGCGGGGGCTCAGAGTGGCCCCTGAAAGAGCTTGCCGCTTCATAACGGCATGTGTTGTGCTGCATAACATTGCCACAATGAGGAAGAAGAGGGCCCCTCCTGCAAACCCCCAACCTCCTGATGTGGTAGACCCCATCACCCTGGACTACCCTACTGACAGGGCTGTCAGAGAAGCTATCGCTTTATTATTTGCTTTAAAAAAAAAGAACACACAGAGAGAGAGAGGCCTTGGATGATTTTTGTTTTATTTATTCACCCATTCCTGAAGGAAAAAGAGAAAAAAACATAATTTTGGTTTACTTTTTCTGTAAAGAAAAAAGGGATTTCTCTTTTAGGTATCCTAAAAGATTTAAAGGTCACCTATGATGCACCTTTCATTTGACTTGAAAATAAATTACTGAATGTTACAAAATGAACTGTCTTTCTCTCTCCAATTTTTCCAACTCCAGCTTGTTTTTTTTTTTATTAAAAGCTTTCGGTGCTCTATTTGTAGGCCCTTTAATTTGATGTCCTGTACTAGGGTCCTTTTGTAAAGGGCCCTCACATTGTCTGCTTCAGCCTGAAACACATGAAACACATATATGTTGCTTTAACATTCAAGCATAGCTCACAGCAAGAAAGCTGACAATTTTAAACTTGACTATACTTTTAAATGTAGTTTAATTCATTACTTGTCGTGATGACATTGGCCTAGACGTCGAGGGCACAGGCTGCGGGAGAGGAAGAGTTCCTTCTTCCTGCAAATTGAGCAAAGCAAATATATTTTCAATGGAGAGTAGTTATTTGTCCCATGTGCAGACCACCACCATTAAAGCAACGTGTCCACACCCTCTCTGTCTGTGTTAGGGCAAATTGAAAACTTCATATCATTGGTAACAAAATACTAAAGTGTACCGCCAGAGCTCTCTCTGAGCAGACCGACAGCGTCTCATCATCATCTAGGCCCTCCTGAAAAAAAGAAGAAATGTAAATGGTCTATTTTATCCATATTCAGCGACCATATAGGTGACATACCAAAGGTTACGTTACCTCTGTATGAGGTAGTGGGTGATTTGGGGGGGGGCAGCAACACCACGTTCTCCCCATCATCTGCAGAACAATAAAATACATGTCACTTACTCCCACAAAAATAGATATATTATATAATTGTGTTTTATAGCATCCCAGCTGTTTAAAGCTCCCTGACTCATACCCTGTATAAAAATGTGGTGGGAGCGGCTGCCACCAGGGTCAGTAGAGACCCCCCCTTCCACCCCTACCATCAAGGGCCGACCCTCATTGTTGCTGAGGGCAAGCTCCTCGGCAGGGGTGAAATCTGGCGGAGCAGGGCCCCCTCCTTTCTTCCTCTTGTCATTTTTTTCCCTGTTGGCTGCAAGAATTGGGAAAAAATGTGACCGCTTTCCTATACAGTTATGAAACACAGACTAATTGAAGCAATACCAAATTGTAGTTGTATTTTTAAGATCTCAAAAGACGGAAACTTACAAGATTGAATGATGTTCTTATATTTTACTTTCATTTGTTCCCAGGTCCTTTTAGACTCGCCTGGGTTACATCTGAAAAAATAAACAAAAAATGTCATGTACAGCTTGAATTAAAAAGAATACTATAAATGAAAAGGATTACAAAAATATTAGGCTTAACCTGTTAAGCCCTGATCCTGTTTTCCAGGTCTCAGGCTCGAAAATGACATTCCCAGAACAAATGACCATATCTTCCCTTCTAAAAGGGTTAAATTAATAATCTTTTTCCTCAAAGTAATGATAAACCTGTGAGTTGGATGTAGAAAAGTCAGAACAATATAGATGTTTTTTATTTTAAAGAAAATTCAGATTTTACATAGTAAAAAACTGTAAATTATAGTGTCCGTCCAAAGATTCTTTTTTACTTATAGTGAAAACTACCCTTGGATGATGGTAAGGTAGACTAAAAGCTTTAGGAATCCAAAGTACAACATATAATAAGTACCCTGTATCAAGATTGATGCAAAACAAGTGACATTTGACCTTTTTATAGAGGTTTAGCCAAAAGAACTCCACCTCTGAGGTAATTTGGGTGGAAATGTTTTTTTTCTTCCATATCTCTGGCCCCCCTTTGTCGATTTTGATGGTTGACACCTCTTTCTGACCGTTAGAGCCAATAGAATCGAAGGGGGATTCCCCCACACACACACGTTGTAAAACAAAAAGGTGAGGGCTTTGCGCATGTAGTTTTGCATGAGAGTGAATCTATCTCTCGCTCTGACATCTAGAAACGGAAAAGCAGTCTTATTGCTCATGGATTATCAGAAATCATTTCAAAGGGACACAGACACATTTGATTAACCTATGGATTAACTTCAGCAGCGTTTTTTATCGTTTTAATGCCATTGAAGACCACTTTGGAGCAGACTACAGAGACAAGGTAACCATGTTAGCATTTTTAGTTACCTAGCGCCACATGTTTTGATGTCTGTTTTTGTTTATAACGTCGCGATTTCGTATGATTCAGTGATTCAGTGTCACCTCACGATGTGAAACGATGTCATGGATGTGGAGAAAAGATAAATAATAAAGTTTTGTGAGTGATTTTCGGTGCAGTAATCTGTTAGCATTTTTCGCTCGTTGCTAATTCAGAGGCTCAGCGTTAGCATTGTGGGGGTTTTTTTGAAAAAAAAAAAAAATGATCAGTTAGATGAGTTTCTTACCGTTACATGGATATAAAACATTCATAGTTTATTAAATGAACATGCCCTCAGACACTGTTTCCTGCAAGATGTTGCGGCAGTGCCCCGGTACCGGGGTCTCTCGGGCTTAACAGGTTAAAGTCCACTTGTGACCCTCGGGCGATGATATTATAAAGAAAAAAAGGCTGCCACTCAATGATCAATTTGGTATTTTAATGATTATTTATCAGATAAACTACAACATTAATCTGGAAGCGCCGGATTTATTTTTGAACATGACTGCTGTGCATCCAATACACTTTTTAAAGATGTGCAGCTGTGCACCCTGTTACATAGGACGTATTTTACTTACGCATTCTCGGAGTCTGCAATCTGTTGCCAACTGTGTTTGCGACTTTTGGCAGCCGCAAGCGTATTGCTTTTGGCCTTTATAATGTTTTAGATCCTCGTATCTGCTCATAATTACGGTGTGTTCGTCCGCGGTGAAATATGTTGCTCTAGGCTTCTCCATTATTCCGATTGGTCGAATGCTCCAAATACCGCCCCTTTTATGTGAACACGCTCATTACTAGATAGGGCAAACCTGGCTTGAGTTACCGAGTAGATGACCAGCGTCATAGGACCGCTTAGCGAGATCGCGTTTGTTTTGGGTTTGGTAAGCCAGATAACTCAAACATTTCTAGGGTATGTTGAACTGGATTCGTAGTACAGGCCTCTGGTCTGGTCCCCCTCTTTTTGTATCAGCTTTTTTAAATAAAGCTCGCTTTTTGTTTGTACTTTTATACCTGCTTCCTGTCTTAATGCGTTTTGGTTCTACAGATGGAGCATCTTATTTCAGACTCCAGCTTACTGCTTCCTGCCTACTACCTGCCAGTTACCTGCCTAAGACCAGTATCTGGGAACATATCACTCCTTCCGGTTTCGCTATGAGTGGTCGCATTTTCGAGAGCTCCCGCTTTGGAGGTTATTCCTCACGATTTTTTACATATTTCATCCTCCTGACAATATGGATTATGGACTCCTACCTCAACTCATCAATGAGGCAACATCACTTAGAGAAGGAGAGTAGTGAAAGCAGGGATAAAATGAACCACAATGACTTTTACCTTCTCAACGGCTGGGAAAGGAAACACCTCGCTTTTGGAAGTGCAAGCATTCATGCATTATTAACTGCAAACCCGACGCGAAAGTACTTACCCCCGTCAGGCAAACTAGACCGAAGAAGTATGATCGTCTTGGTCTTATTGTTAGCGGGAGACATCCATCTGAATCCGGGCCCGGTGCAGACAAGAAGCCATTCCTGCAGGCTCGAGGAGCTAGCATCACAACTAGCATCACAACTAGCATCTCTTCCGCTACAGCAACAACTACGCGACGACAACAGAGACCATGGAGACAGCGGAGACCGAGGAATCAACGGAGACTTCGACATTCCCCCGGGGACGCCTCGGCAGACAGACACGCATGAGGCAGTGACGAGAGGAAGAGAACCGAGATCCGAGGGAACAAATATCCACCATGTTGTTAGCCACCCTGCTAGCATATCGACGGCTAAAGCTACAACGGAGCCTCCCTCCCCCCCCACCACCCCACCGCTCCAAGCACCACGGCAGGCCGCAAGCCGTTTGCTGTAACGGACAAAGACAAATATCTGCAAGCTGACGACATTATGCATTTAAACAACAAAAATGGACTACATATTTTTCATCTGAACACTAACAGCCTGAGACACAAACTGGCTGAACTCAGGCAACTGTTCATGAACGGTAAGGCAAGCATATTATGCTTTTCTGAGACCAAATTGGACAATTCCATTACAGATTCAGAGATTGAAATTGAAGATTATCTTGTAGTGAGAAGGGACAGGAACGTGAATGGAGGTGGTGTCTGCATGTACATACATAAAGACACCAATTTCAAAAACCGTACTGACCTGCATCATGAAAATATTGAATCTGTGTGGGTTGAAATTCTTTTTGACAATGCTAAATCTGTAATAGTCGGGACAATCTATAGACCACCGGAACAGAGTGACTTTTATGATACATTAGATGGGTGTTTGGCTGATGTGGGGGATGTAGAGACAATTATTATTGGAGACTGGAACACGGATATGCAACGTAAAGACACGTCCGTCTTCAAGTCCTTCAGTAGGATTTGTGATCTGCACGGCTTCAGCCAGCTAATCACCCAACCCACCCGGGTATGTGAAACAACACAAACTACCATTGATCTCATTCTGACCTCTGACAGGTCCAGGATCTCCAGTAAAGGGGTTATAGCATGCGGTTTAAGTGATCATTATATGATATTCTGTACCCGCAAAAAGCTAAAACAAAAGGCCGGCTGTCACAAAACAGTCATATCTAGAGACCTCAAAAACTACTCTAGCGAGGCCTTTAACCTAGAACTGGAGAGCCTGGACTGGTCAGATGAGCTCAGTGGTACACAAGTTGAAGAAACATGGCTTGGTTTCAAAAACAAATTCTCTGCAATACTCAATGATTTGGCCCCCCTAAGAACAACCAGGGTAAAAAATCGCGCTGAGCCGTGGATGCACTCCGGCATACTGACCGCCATGAAAACCAGAGACAAAAAATGCTCTGAGTTTCATAAAAGTCAGTCAATGCTTTCCAAAAGCACGAGCAGTGAACTCCAGGCCCACGTGACTGAACTAAA